CCAGATGGTGACCCTTGTGGTGCCCAAGCTCCCTGCTCCTCTTATTCCATCACCTAGAGTTTCTTCATGACACCCATTTGGATGAACGACATCTGTCAAAAACCTCAAACGTTCATCCACACATGGAGTACTACAAAATGCACTTGGTTTGAAAAAGTAGTAGGATGTGGGTGTGTGGGGGTCCAACCAAAACCCACAATGTTAGCCCATAAAGTGCCAAAAGTGTGATGGCTTTGACCAACAACAACAAATTCCCATCTGGGTCACTCCAAGCTTAATTAGTATTGGTGATACTACATTTTAAATAAGTGTGCTCTTTTTCTTTACCCATCATCTTACATTCACTCATGTTTGCCTTATTCACTTGTTTCCAACATCTTCCCAAATTTTGGGTACTTTGGTGGCAATTACTTAGGCCACTTTACAATTTTTACTCTTACTTTATATACCTCTAAGACTTGGCTTGACTTATGAAGTGGAAGAACCATGCTTTCTCTAGGCCTCACACTCGAGCCATTACATTCCACAATCTTAAAAAATATTAGAACAATATAATTTGAGAGGGAAAGAATTTTAAAAAATAAAAATAAAAAGTCTTTGCATGTATACATAAAGAATGAAGCTGTACATATGCTTATGTATGCACAGTTATAATATGACACAACACATAGCCTTGACAAGAAACTAATAGTACATAATTAATATACTTATTACTTAAATAAATACATCTTAATCATAATAAGAAGAGTATCAATTTCATGTAACCATTATCAACTTTTGAAATATATATGTATGTGTGTGTGTGTGTGTATATATATATATATATATATATATATAAATGTCAGCTGTTTTCAACCATTGATGAAAGTTTAAACTAAAGAACTTTACTTGGTATGAATTTATCTTTTCAAATCAAATGATAATTATTATTACAAATTTATTTATTTAAAGATATTATATATGAAATTTATATAAAAAATAATTGATTAAGCATTACAGAATGTATTTGTTTATTTCTGAGTTTTTTTATTTACCAAACATTAAAAGAAAACTTATAAACAAAATCACAATTTTATTTTTTACAGAATAATTTTATGCATAGAATGTTTTTAGTAAGTTAGTAAGTCAAGTAACAGATAATTATTTTGTTAACCTGTGATGACATTTTTAATAAATTTGAATTCATTATATGTATTTTTATTAAAGGCGCCAATATATATATATATATATATATATATATATATATGGTAAGAAAAATTATGATATTTAAAAAAAATATTGGTAATATATTAAATATGTAAATATATGTGAATTCTTTTTAGCACATAAGAACTATGGGAAAAAAATAAAGCTGAAAAAAAACTAGGAAGGGTTTAGAAGTCAGATTCAAAATAAAAATAAAATTGATATGAATTAAATAGAATGTTTTTAGTTGTGATGAGAATTGTTATGGTAAGGGAAAAACCAAATAAAAGGAGTTGGATGTACTTTCTAAGTTAGTTCACAAAATCAATGCAAAACTGTATCTTTTTTTTTTGTCATACAAATAAATCACCATAGAAATGTTCAGTTTGTGTCTTTTTAAATGTTACAAATGTTTTGCTTAGTTACTTTCATTTTTAAAAAATACATAAAATTAAGAAGCTATACAATAATTCTGTTTAAGTTTTGCAAGAATTTAATTCTGAGATATCTTTCCATTTAGTGCTTGATTTTAATAGGGTTTATAATAGGTTTTAAGGTGTATAACCACTAACATACTGTAAAGTAAGAAGAGACCATGAAATAGACCAAATCATTATTTTACATTAAATTTAAATATACCAACTTATATTTGCATTGTAGTAATTACAAGAGATATTTTTAAATTTAATTTCTTGATTTTCTAATGATTATTTTAAGAATATTTAAACGTGTTTAATTTTTAAAAACTATCTCTAGAGATGAATTCAATATAAAAATTCTAAAAGACAGTACTGTTTGTGCTATATAAGATAAAAAGTATATTTCATCTCATTTTTTTCTTCAAGTCTTTAGAATTATTTTTTCTATAATGCCATGATATCAATCTTGAATATAATGCCATGATATCAATCTTAGTCATACATATAAAATATAAAATATATTTAATATTTTTATGATTTTTTATTAATATTATACTACCTACAATTAATATGTTCTTTTAAAATCTACGGTTTGTAAATGATTGCTTTTTTAATTTGCCTCAAGGCATAGACACCAACTTCTTGTTGTTTAGCCTAATTATCTATTCTTACAAGAAAGAAAAAAAATTCTAAACTAGAAAAAACCTAAATTTTTAAAATAAGCCAATCTTGTGTATAATTATTTTTGTATAAAAACTAAAGATTTTGAATAAAACATATATATTATGAAAGGCATTCAAATAAAACATTTAATTTTTGAAAGTATAATTATAATTAAATAATAAAATTTAATGTTTTTGTAGCAACAACTCTTAGCACATGTATAAAACTCTTAGCAATGCTAAAACCACACGATTAGACACAATTTATTGTTTTTGAACAACAACTCTTAGCACATGTATAAAAGAAACTGCAATATCTACTTTACAAAATAAACCTTTACTTGCATTCAATACAAATGTTTGTAGATTTTTTTTTTAATTGTATCATTTAAAAAATTTAGATATTCTTTTATATTTTCAATAAAAAAAACATCGCAAGAAAATTAAATAAGCTGTTTTATAGTATTAAAATACATTTTTTTGAATCATTTGGTAGACAATATGTTTTTTTTATTTTTTTTTATTTTTTTTATTATTATCACAAAAAATTAACTTACTAATTTAAAATTGAAAAAGGATTATTATAATCCTTTGTTTAAATATTTTTAGTTTAGTTTGTAATAAATTTATAAAAAATAGTCTAAGTTTATATATTTATTTAAATAAATACATTTTAGTTAAAATTAAGGGAGTTGATCAAGCGACATCCCAATGTTGTTAAAGCCACACTCCTCATACCAAGTGATGATTAATTTTGGGGGAGAAGGAGCAAGCGACTTGGATAAGAAACAAGGCACATGGGTTGAGTATGAGGGAGAGGGGGCATGGAACAAGGAACAAGATGGAAATGGACAGAGACAAAAATGGATAAAATTGATCATGAGATGGTAATGTGGGGTGTGGCTTTTAGAACTCCCAAAATTTATAATATTGAATTTAACATTACAGGACTTATTAATTTTCTTAAGTACATAGTCATTAGGATCTGTGTTACTTAATTCTATTTTTTTATTTTCTTATACTTTTTTCACAATGTGGATAATAAAACTCTCATTAATCCTCTTCAACAACCCACTTGAAGATTATTTTGAGTCCACACATAGTTTTAAAGAACTTTAAAATAACTTGAGTTTACCTTTGTGCATAAGTTTGTCATTTGTTTTAAATAATAATTGCAGATATTGTTTTTTTTGAAAAAGACAATACACACGTCCATGTGACCTATGAATGAAAAAATAAGATAAAAAAGGTCAAAGGCACAACTATAACGTTCTTCAACAAATAATATTAGATGATTATGCTACACAAATATTTATGAACCTGTTACAAAAAATAAAATTCTTTTTTAATACCAAGTTTCAAAACATCTATAATAAACTTATGATTTACAGAATGCAATTCTAAATAAAGTTTCATTTTACCATCTCCAACTTTAGTCTCTCAGAACTTTTAACTCATATATATATATATATATATATATATTTATAATTTATTATTTTTATAACATTATAAAAAAGTTAAGCATATCATACGAAATGCATGATGATTTTTTATTCCATAAATTCTTGAAATATCTAAAATTGAAATAACACAAATATATACACAGATCCACTGACACACAAAGTTCAAAGCTAGGAGCCTTCCAATATAATTAAATGTCAAATGGTGTGGTCACATTAGAGATATATATTAGATCTAGCTGGCTTTGAATTTAAAGAGTTTGGTGAGATTTGCATTCCAACACAGCAAGGTTCACAAAACCTGAGAGCATGTAAAAGCTGGTTGTGGTGTGATCAAGGGTGAGCAATGGCTTCGCACATCCATCCATCCATCCGTCCACGCGCACTAAACTCATACATTCATCCGCCCATCCATTTGTGGGAAGAGGAATTAAAGCACGTGTCATGGTCAAGAGTATGTCAACTGCTGCCACAGTTGCCTTCCCATATTATAACTGATATGGTCACACAGAAAAGCCCTCCCACCATGGAACAGCAAGGACACACCCTAAAACTCTCTGGCTCATGCTTCTCTCTGTGTATTGAAACTTAAAGATATTTGTATGCTTGCATTTCTCTGCAGTTAATATACATCTGTGCAAAATGATTCCCACGATTGAAACTAGAATATTACATTAAGCTTAGATTTATAAAACATTCAAACTAGAACTATGTGATCACACATTTTACTTAGAGTATTAAAATTTTTATTTTTGAATTTTTGAATTTTTTGTTCTTCTGTTAACGTCCGTTTTCTCACGTTTAAAATAATTATATAACACAACAATATCAGGATTTAAAAAAAAAAAACTAATTTAAGGTGATGGATGGGTCATAGCCTTGTAGCCTATCATATGAAAGCTTCAAAAAAGTATTGGAATTATGTTTTCCACCCAATCACAAAAGTGATACTAATATTTTTGTTTTTCCCTATATTTTGTTGAAATTAAATTTAATAAAATTAAAACTTATTGTTCCAAAAGGAAATATCTTTTGACTCATATCCATTTAAAATCTCAGATTTACTTAAATATAAAATAGAAAATAATATGTCATGAGTTGTTCACATGAACAATATAGGTAGATAAATTTGAAAAAAGAGAATTTATTTTTATTCTGGATGAATTCATAAATTTTTGAACATTTCATGCTTAAGATGGAAAAGAACCGAGAATATGTTCTCATAAACATTGTTGGAGCTTTAAACTGAGCTTTTAGAGATGAGGTATCATTCCAGGCAAAACAGTTCTGGAAAACCTACAAGGAATCAAATATTCAAGTTGAGATTATATGAGCTCCACCTCAAAGCGAGTGTAGAAAAGTACTCCATTCAGGGACTGGAATGTTTTAGGACTGTCCTCTATCCCTGCCGTCGACGTCGTCCCTGCGAGTGCTGGAGCCCGAGGTTGGATCCCAGCCAACAACAGTTCTGAGGACTTATCGTATGATACTCCTCTTCACCGGTGGCTTATCGCAATATGCTCAGGAGTTCTTTCTTCTATCTCTCCACAGATTGATCCTGCAGTGAGTTTTGTGGTACAAGGAAACAAGATTTCAGTGACAGATAGTAGAGAGGATCGTGAGAGCTTTCCGGCAGTTGATGTTTCGCGCTTAATTTATCATCATCTAAGTTTTAGAGACTAAACACACCTCCTTGTCGTGCCCTCCGTGATTTTCATAAACTAACGTTTATCTATGTCTCTAATTTGTAATGAAAATGCTGGTTCACAATGCAATCATGACTTCCTTGAGGTGTGTCAAGATAACTTCGGCTTGTTGATTTTATTACCGAAATGCGGTTTTCTTCTGTCAGGTGTTGAGAAGTTCTCATGCTAGCTAGTCTCTGGTATTTGTAGTGTTTATGAATCAGAGTGATCGACTGGAAGTCTGTCCTAATGTGTCTTTCAGAGTTGTGAAGTGCAGATTGCACGCTTACAATGTTATGGCTGGGGCGTGTTTAATTCAAGGAAACCGCAAGAGATATACGTTGCACCTAGACTTGGTGGAAGCGCTGTTCGCGAGAAGACTAGAGCTGAATAAGAACCTTGCAATGAGTCCAAGAAGCTCAAGAAGATTGTTGACAGGGTCAAGTTCCGGGACAGACAACCGTACGCAACAGGTACCGCATCCGAAGAAGAGATACTGGCTGACACCGCCAGATCCAGGTCCAAATTGCGCCACTGCACTCTACGACGTGGCTACAGTTGCTCTTGGTGCTTCAGTAGACCTGGATTTTTGCGCGGCAAGCGAAACTGCTCGCAAGAAGAGGAAAATCAATGGCCTCCTAGAAGGTGGCATGAACAAGGAGGAGCAGGTCACGAGGGATCTATGTAACAGTTTCGAAAATGGAGAACCCTCCGATCCTCGAAATCTGGATGTCGTACCTTGGAGAAGCACTAGCAATTCCTCAGACGGGATGAATCTGCGTCAGAGCGGTCTGACTTCGGAAGAGGATGCTGATGGTAATGCCCCAAATGACTCCGCATTAGCTACAGTTATAACTGCGGCTGAGCTTTTGACGCAGCTGACATGCGGGCGAAATGCGGACACGTATGGTCAATCACCAGATGTCACTTCTTGTGAGCCATTTCCAGCAGATTCTAGGCAAGCATCAGAACAACCAATTCGCTGGGGAATCAAGAAGAAGGTGACTTACGAGACCAGGAGAAGCGTGGACTCATGCGACCTTGGCTTGTGCACTGGTTTGATACGTCAGTTTTCGGATGAGGAGAAGGCTGTGTCTGTTACTTCGGCTCACGGCACTCCCAATCAGAAACTCGACAAATATCAGGACAGTCGGCCCCAGAACTCATTCAGTCCTGGGAAGAAATGGAACCAGTCCTCTCCGAAATATCCAGCCTCTTCAGAGCTATACAGACAGCTGAGGTCATCAGGAGATCAAGCAGTGATGGATTCTACGCTGGTTTTATCGTCTTCGACTACTCATATTTCGAGAGATCAGAAGCAGAACAAAATACCTTCGTCCACCCGGACAGTTTCAGGAAATATTCTTAAGTTGCCTAAAGACATGCAGGGCCGGTGGTCTAGTGAGAGGTTCGTAGTCCGATCAAACAAGCAAGTCAATCTTCTGTGCTTGTTAAACTATCTAATTGTTCGCCCCTAGATGTGTACACTTTTGTGCAACAACCTCATAAATTAGAGTGCGTTTGAGAGCATGCCCTGTATCCTCGAGCTCATATTACAGAAGACAGTAATGCGGTAAAAATTGCAACGATTCCACACACGAATAATATATTTCTGCGATTTTAAGCAGCGTAAGATTAGGACGTCTTCTAAAGAGCAACTGCTTCTTTGTTACTAGAATTCGCGATGCATTTCGAACTTTGAGCAAACCAGTAATTCGCCACAAGAAATTGAATTCGTATAGCTTGAGATGGTCTTTGAGGCGCTTCATAGTGTAATCTTGGCAAGGACTTTTCGTGACATCTGGTAAGTAACTGAGGATTTGCTTCAACCATGCCAATGTGCAGATATAAGTCAGCGCAGCTGAAGCTTATTGATATCATGCATGCACGAAAAGCTGTACCAGGAAGACCTATTCTGAGGCCTGCTCTGCGCGAGGAAGCCAGAAAACATATTGGCGACACTGGATTACTTGACCACCTACTGAAACACATGACAGATACAGTAGTAAGTACAGGTGAACGGTTTCGTCGGAGACACAACTCTGAGGGTGCAATGGAATACTGGTTAGAGCATCCAAGCTTGATGGAATTGAGAAAAGCAGCTGGAGTTGAAGATCCGTCATGGATACCCCCACCGGGATGGAAACCTGGCGACAAGCTGTCGGGCAGGAATTGGCAAATAAATCACGGTATGACTTCATCCGAAGCTGCTGAGATGAAGAACCTGAAAGAGACGGTAGAGAAATTGAAGAGGTACTGGAATATTTTGTTCCCGACAGGTTATGACTTGAGTTTTCAAAATATTTACTTGATTGAATTGCCTACGATCAAAATGTGAGACAATGATGTTCTGAGTTTTTATGTTATTGGTGAATTTCTGCAATTGTGAGCTGCAGTCTGCATTTTTGTGGCTCATTGTTGAGTATTTTTTTAAGCTGCTCTATTTTCTCAGTTCTTTCAGATATTAATTGTGGATTTTTTAAAATCGCCTCTCAAATCATCAAGAATCAACATTAATACTGCAGTCCTGATGTATCTGACCTTGAGCACTGACGAATTTAGTAAATGCTTGTTCCAGTGAAATGAAAGTTCTATGTGGAAGCATCAAAGTATCTAACCAGAGGGGTGCACTGACCTGCTCAAGTGTATTTCACGAAAAAGGGTCGGAAGGTTTGCCTTTCAGAACTGAAGCTGAAGATGATATAATTAAGGTGAGCTTGTTCATACTGGTATCGGTAAATTAAATATTTAATTTACTTCACATGGAGGTCCAGTTCTTTACCCGTAGTAACAAATTTCACCACGGGTGCAGCGTAAATTGACGGCAGAAATGGTCTATTACATCTATTTCGTGGAGCTTGAATTTTGCAGCAATTTCCAATATGGTGTTCTCACCTTACAGTCTTAAAGGAAGGACATGCTCAAGAATTGTAGATCAGACTAGTGGAATGTTTACGAATACAAGCTTTGTTGAAATGACAATAGCGTCACTTAATTTTTGACAGGACATTAGAAAGGACATGACACAGTTTAAAACCGAATTGACCAATATGCAGCAGCAATTTCACGAGGAGCGCAAATCAGGGTAAGCTATATCATGGTCACTAGGTATTGACGACTGTAGCAAAGATTCCAACTGTTATACCTGAGCTAATATAAGATTCGTGTGCTTCCACCAGAAGTAGTAAATTTTAAATGAATTTGAGGAACGCTGGGCTTAGGACTTCGTTTACTCTTCCTGGATTCGTGTGGCAAACCCTGATGGAGTTTAAGTCTGATTGCCCGAAACATAATTCTTCATTGTAAATTGATCTTCCCTATACCATTTGTCAACTCCTAATTTACTGCATGGTTTTGTTTCATTTTGTAATGGCAGCGCTAACCTATGCATCACCTTGGAGCGATTCCAAAAACTTGAGAGTGAAGTGCTTCAGATGCATGAGGTAGGTTAAAGTACAATCGTACACCAATTTTTCTTTTTCGACCTTGACATACTAACAGTCTGTGATCGTCTAAAGTAACCTGGAGCTGCGCATAATTTGTAGTGATGTGACAGTATGCCGATACTAGTTGAATCTTTGCTTTTACCTGTCGACAGAGCCAAAAACCACAGGAGGAAATTCTTTCAGGTGGCAACCAACTTGACCTTGAAGGACAGCTTCAAGATGTTCGCAAGACTGTGGCTGTAATGCAGGTATCTGCTGTGTAGTTCCTGATTTTGGTCACCCGTGAAATACAGGAGATGCTACTTGTTTTATCAGTGTCATGAATGCCAATAGTATCAGTCCACATCTTATGCATTTCTGCATTGTCCAATCTTTTCATTCAGCAGCCATCATGTTGCTGGTGGATTGAACTGCAGGCGGATGTTAGCTGCATCATGAGCATGCTGGGGATTGTACCACCCATAAAGGCCACACCCTTAAGATATCCATTTGATCGGAGTACACCTGCAAAGTCTATGCCCTTGATGCTCTCAACGGGTGAAGATACCTGTGTAACACATGGGCCGTCAGATGAACCTCAATGTCCGGGAACCTCAGAGCTGGTACTACACGACTTCCACGTTATCCCTAAGTTGGATGTTTCTATGAGACAGTGCACAACTTTGGAGTGTGCAATCAGCAGTAACAATGACGGCAACTCAAAGGAAATTTCTGCACCATACACAGAGGGACTTTCACGAGCCCTCTCAAACTACAAACTTGTGAACCAACCTGGTCAGCCAGCCAATACTCAAGTCGATGAAGTAAAGAATCCAACGGGGAGCTCCATGGCTACTCAAGAGTGTGCACCTCCTCTGGCGGGGGAAAACAAGCAGAGACGGGTTCAGGTTTTCAATACCCAGAATTTCAAACCCATATTTAAAAGTCAGCCGACCGGATTCAGAATCTGCCGCCCACCAGGTAGTTTCATATGGCCCAGCATGTTGAGTTCCAGTCAGTTTCCGGGCAACGTGCCTCCAATGAGCAGACTAGAGAATACGGAACCCCGAGTTGAAGATGGCGCTGGCTATAGTTCACCGCGTTCGGTTTCTGGAGTACCATTTTCTCCACACATGACCTCTGTAAAGCAACCCAATTATTCAGCTAGGTCCATAGCTGAGTGTCAAGTCGCAGCGACAATGGCAGGAATGTTTGGGTGCATGGCGCCTCTAGAAGTAGCCAAGCTGGAAATGCAGGGACCTCGCAACACTGCCAATGCCACCAATTCGCCTCGTAACTCAATCATTAGTCAAAGTTCGCAGCAATCAAACAGCAAGTTTTTACCAAGGAGACATACAGTGAGCACCGGTGTAGACTTCAGCGCTTCTCCAGCATCTGAGGGTCGTTCTCCCGCTGATCAACCCCAGCAGACAAATGTGCAAAAATCGACTTCTGTGTGTCCCACGAAACAATCGACTTGGAATTTGCTGAACCAAAAGCCTGAGATTAATAACATTGAAACTCCTCAGCGGTCATTGCCCACACTTCCTCTTATGACGAAAGGAATTGTACCGAGTGACAAGGACAACATGAGCACCGCCACAAATTCGGGACATTGCTCGTTACCTGCTGGGCAAACAGACCCAACACTCTCTCTTTCGTTGTCGCTGTCAGTGTCTCCTGGTATGTGCAATAGCAATCCTGCTTTGAAGAAACAGAAGTCCATCTGACTGATCGTGATACGAGTTTGAGTTTCATACGTGTGAGAACCAGTGATGTTATTCAGGTTTGAGGAATCTTCAACTTGCAGTCAGCTTTACGGTGACATGTATGCTCAAACATTTTGAGATGCTCATTAATCATAGGCACGTAGGAGAGTTTCCTTCTTTGTTGCACATGTCAATCTGTTCGGGCATCTAATTTACACCTTTTATGATTAGGATCCTCCTAGTCTTTTGGGTGTTTGATCCAAATGTCATTACTGCATGCATTTGTTAATTTTCTATTTTCGTTCTCTCTTTACTAATTTAGGTTGTATCACTGTACCGGAACCCAATGATGTTCAGCGAACGGATTGCATTCTTTATTGAGGTAACTAGTTGTAAATTGTAACCATTCATATTCTTACTGTTCTCTGAACAACACTTTCATTTTTAAAAATCAGAACTAATGCCCGACTTAAGAAGTTATTTGTCAACTGATAGTCACAAATGCACCAATGTTTACCAATATAGATCAAGTGTCACTTCAGTGAAATATGTATATATATATATATATTGTCACAAGTAGAATATATTCTATTGAAGTAGAAAATATGATACATTAAGGAACCCAGCCAAGTCCGGCCAGGCTCATAACAGGAATATACTAACTAATGAACGATTAATTGGGACCGAACAAATTTATTGCGGACGCTCTGCAGTCCAGACGCTATGACGGCCTTCCTACACCATTGCTGTTTAAGTTATCCATGAGTGTGGCTTGCTTTTTCAGGTTTGCGCTTGCAGCCATTCTTGGCCTGGATCCACGCTATGTGCCCATTATCAACCATATTTAACCACATTTTGTGACACATTTTCTTGGTCAACCAAAAGGTGCCATTGAAAGCTGCGTCATTTCTTTCTATCCATAAAAGCCAGGTGTAGTGTCGCGGAGTAGAAGCTAGAGCCGATTGACTTGTTTAAACCTTCACAGTGTGTGATGAGCGAAAATACAATGTTTTCATGATGGGGAGAACCCGAGAAGTGGTATGCCTGTGCCTTGGCCGTCATGAACCAGTGTTGTGTGTACTCTCCTGTTCGAGTTGCTTAGTGCAATCCTTCGTGCTGATCGCTCTTCAAGGAGATTGCGTAGAATGTGGGTGCCCCATTTCCACGCCATTTGTGCTGATGGGCATTCCTAGAAGTGGTGCAACACCGTCTCGCGCTTGCCACACATACACACGGGGCAACATTGATCCACATCATTATTCACCCGTCCACGCCAGGCGTTCACCGCAACCGCTCTGTGCTAGATGAGCCAAAGTAAACCGGCTTCCTTTTTAATGCATTCCTTATCCCACACATTCAGCCATTTAAGGCGGTAGTTGGGATGGAGAATACCTTGCCATTTGCGTGGTATCACAGCGGGTACTATGTGCTTTGATTTAAATAGACTTCTCTCAAATGTAGCAGTGTAGACCATGAGAGGGACTTTGTCACCCCACATGAAACGATGTGGATCTCACGTGAGCTGGTCCACTCTTCTATTGTAGAGCAAGGTCAAAGTTTCTTTTTACTCCTTTTGGATTAGAATCTCATTGACTCGTCGGAGGTAACCTTCAATCCATGTTTAGAAGGAATGCGCCCGCGCTTTGTACTCATTCTTTTGTTGTGGTACGAGATTGTGTAACTCAACTAAATGGTGCAATGGTGGATCAATTGTGAATTTTTGTACTATTGCCGAAGTCCATATCTGGACAAGACCCACGTCTTGGCGGAAGGCAGTGGAGCCTTGCCAGACCCAGCTTTGTTGCAATCCTTGTTCATCCTCACACACCCCAAGTCAGTCCCCTTCTGCGCTACCAGTACGAGGCAACAGTAGAAGCACCCTCCATTTCTGGGTTAACGCTGCTGTGAACGCCCTCTATGCCTCCTCCTCCTGTATCATAACTCCGTATACACAATTCTCTTCGTCATGTGACAAGAAATAATCCCTCACCTAAAAATCGCAAATTTTTCGCAGCGCAGCCTTGTGTAGCTTTGCATTTCTTACTTCGGAGAAACCAGGACCTACCGATTGTATTGTTGAGCCACACCATAAGTTACAGTTTAGAATCTTGTCATACCTGATAGGGAGCACATCTTTGACAGCAAATAGTACTTGTTTCCAGACACGTGTCACTATATTCCAGACCAAGGAGCCTTATTTGCTTTAATGTCAAGATAGGGTGAAGTAGTCCATGCTCGGACTCTGCTTCCCGCCCAAGTACGGCTAGTTCTGAAGTAGAAGGTATCTAAGCATTGCGTGTGGGTTGGATTATCCAGGCTCTAAAGCTTTCACCATCCATTTAACTAATAGGACAACCACTGCATTGCCTAGATAAAATTAAACTAATACCGTCATCTTTTTTGTATTGTCAACAATAAAGCCACTCCACTTTGATCCTTGTCCATTGTATCAATCTAGCTATAAGATAATTTCCAATGGATGCTTTTACTTTGGCAATTCCATGTTGAATTCCTCCTGGACATGAAAAAGAAGATAGTAGATAGAAGCACACTATTGATTATTGTGCCCCTACTTATGGCATTTGCTTTTGTGGCACACCAACATGTGACCTTACAATTAATTTTGTTGAACAAAAAAGAATCAACATCAAATGAATTGATATGGAGTCCAAAAGAAGCACCTAAAAGCTTGCTAACTTTATCATTTTTTGTCCATACAATTCTCATTTAATTTATTCAAGGTAGTCTATTATGATTATATTTATACTTTCAATAACTATTAGATTTTTTCTACTTTAATATTAAACCTAAAATAAGGCAAAAGGTGTCTAGAATATAAATAAGGGTTCTCACCTTGCCTTCTTTTCCTAATAGAGCAAGGAATGTATTATCAACATATTGAGCTATCACTTGTTGCTTGTCTTCTTAGATAAGTGGATGCCTCTTACATTGCTACTATCAACTTTCTAGCCTATTATTATGTTCATCACTTTAGCTACAATGTGTTATAGACATATTTATTTATCTAGATAAGAAGTGCTAAATAAAAGATAAATATAGGTGGATTTTATATTATCTTATGGCAAAGCTTTTTAGAAGCTTTATAGAAGCATATTTGACTTTATACATATTTATAATTGATTGATAGGTTAGAAACTTGGCCAATAAGTTAGCCATGTATTACATGTATGAATAACTTGTGGTATAAGCTGATAATATGGTGCACATATAGGAAATTTGCCTTGCAAGTTAAGACATGTGTCTTGCAAATTAGATACATGTTGGAGGTCCTAAAAGACGTTGCTACATATTTCTTAATTGGATAATATATATGAAAAGAAGAATAAAGCCTTCTTCACTTTTGTCAATGTTTTTCTAGTCTTTGGTCTTATTTCAAGACTTTCTAGTCTTTTTATCTTCAATAATAGTTATTTTACTTAAATATTATAACCAACAATCAACAAATTTAAATCAAGAACTATTATTTGCTGATTTATGCAACAAAACATTATGATTATCACAGCCTTGAAGATATCATAATCAAGATGAAGACCCTTAAGAATAACAAATTCTTCTTCAAATAGATGGCAAAATAAAACATGTTTGATATTACAATCTAAGAAGAAATTTTTAATGCTTAGTGATTTTATAGGAGGTAGAAATGACTTTCAATAGACTCACAAATGTTTTTTTGAAGCAAGTTATGAAAGCCCCAACAATGATGAAATAACATGGTGGTATTTCTCCCTTAGAATGAGACATTATGGATGGCTGATAAGACCTATAAATAGTATGGATATATACATTTATTTCAATAGTTACTTATACAATTAGATAGAAGTAGATAAATATAAATTAATTTCATAAAGTGTTTTAGGAAAGCTTCTTAGAAGCTTCATAGATGCGGTTTTGACTTTAGATGTATTTATAAGATAGAAACTTGGCCAACAAGTTAATCACATATTAATAGCTTCTGGGACAAGTAAACTCCGTGTAGTAGCTTGTGGAATAAGCTAACTAAGTGGTGCATACATTGATAACTTGTCTTATAAGTTAAGACATGTAACTAACAAAGTCAACACATTTTGGAGGTCCTGTAGGACATCGCCATGTAGCTCCTAGTTAAGAGTATATATGGAGGCAAGAGTAAAGCCTTCTTCATTCTTGTCAAGACCTTTCTAGTCCCAAATCATATTCCAAGACTTTCTAGTCTTCTTGTCTTCTTATAATCTTAATTTTTTTAGAAGCATAATCCAAGATTGCATTACTAAAGTAGAAGTATATAAGTCTAATACATCCAAAATTTTACTAGTAGATGCAAGTCCTTTCATGCATGCTACAAAAAAAAGATCATCTTTTGCTATATATACTACACCCATTTTTAATAGTGAAAAAATATCAAGTGATATTCCTAATCAATATCAAGAATTGCAAGACGTTTTTGAAAAGAAGAACATAGATATTCTTCTAGAGCATCAAAATTATGATTGTTCAATTAATCTACAAGGAACTCAACTACCATTTGGACCAATCTATAGCTTATTGTAGAATGAGTTGGTTGCATTAAAGGAATACATTGATGTGAGCTTAGCAAAGAACTTCATATGCCATTCTAAATCTTCAGCCGGGGCTCCTATCTTATTTGTGAAGAAGAAAGATAAATCTCTACAGATGTGTGGATTATCAAGGACTCAATATGATCACCATCAAAAATAGGTATCCTTTGTCTTTGATTTCAAGACTTCTTGAATAACTCAATCAAGCAAAGATCTATACGAAAATAGATCTATGAAGAGCATACAACTTAATTCATATCAAAGAAGGAGATGAATGGAAGATTATTTTTTGAACTAGGTATGAACATTTTGAATATAATATCATGGCTTTTGGACTCACAAATGCACTAATTGCTTTTCAATATCTTATGAATGATATTTTTTGTGAGTTTTTAGATGATTTTATTGTTTACTATTTAAAAGACATTCTAATCTACTCTAAGAATATAGAAGAATATGAACTTCATGTTCATCGTGTGTTACAAAAACTTAGAGATATAAGATTATATGTCAAGTTAGAAAAGTGTGTATTCCATACTATTCAAGTTGACTTTTTAAGATACATAATTTCTAATGAAGGCCTTATGATAGATTCCAAGAAGGTCCAAACTATCATAGATTGAAAGATTTCAAAAACAGTATGAAATGTGCAATGCTTTTTGGGCTTTGTTAATTAGTATCGAATCTTTATCAAGAATTTTTTTCAAGTTACAGCTCTACTTACATATTTGACTTGTAAAGACAATCTTAAGTAGAATAAAGAAGTAGAA